CACGCAACACCATAGTCACAGCACGAAAGTCAGCAAAGGATGCTGGCTCCCTCCTGGACATGTGGTGAGGGGATGGCTGCAACATGCTGCTGGGGGGCGGGAGAGAAATGCTGAGCATTCCTGAGGCCTCACAGGGTGGCTCTGGTGCAGAAAGAGTGCAAGGAGCAAGGAGTTCGGGCCCTGAAGCACATCTCTGAGGACAGCCGCTTGTTACCAGGCACCGAGTGGAAGACAGGAAGAGCAGAGAAGCCAAGGAAGAGGCAGGGCCAAAAAAGAAAAGGCTGGTAACGTCACCTGCCGGAGAGGGAAGAGGGAAGGAAGCAGGAGAGAAAAGCCTTTGGGTCAGAGAGCATCAGTGGCATGTCCCGGGCCAGCCTCGTCCTCACTGGGAACCTGCAGAAAGATTCTCGGGGCCTACGTCTGTCATGAACCAGAGACCGAGGGGAGCTCTGTGCTCCACCAAGCCCCCTGGGGATTCCGAAGCAGTTGTCTGAGAACTACTAGGTTGGAAGATTGTGGGAGGGTGAGGGGACAGCAACAGCTACAGAACACAGGGGAGACCTCACACACCAGGAGCTGTGCCTCAGCACTGCTGACGTCCTGGGCCACATGTGTCATTGCTGTGGGCCTGCCCTGCGCGCTATAGGATTCTGAGCGGCATCCCAGGTCTCCACCCATCGGATGCGAGTAGCAGCCCCTTACCCCTGGTGACATCCAGAAATGTCTCCAGACGTTGCCCTGCGTCCCCGGAAACAAAGCTGCTCCGGGCAGTGCAGAGGGAGAGGCATGCACGAGCTGGACTGGTTCACTCCATCCCCCACTCAGTCCATCCTGCACCCAGCACGCCCCGCCTCATTTAGGGGCTGGAAATCCCGCAGAGAGCAAGGCGAAATTTCCTTCCTGCGAGAGACCATTCAGCGGGGCCAGCAGCAGTGAGAACCTCAAACAAGTCAGTGAGGCCACTTCAGACTGAGGCGCACACTGAGGGGAGGAAGCCAGCAATGTGCTGATGGTGATAGGGCTGGTGACTGTGGGTAGTCAGAGTGATGGGTCTGTGTGAATCTGGATGCTCATGGTGATGGGGCTGGTGACTCTGGATGGTGACACTGATGGGTCTGGGTGACTCTGGATGGTGATGGTGAAGGGGCTGGGTGACTTTGGATGGTGACACTGATGGGTCTGGGTGACTTTGGATAGTGATGGTGATGGGCTGGGTGACTCTGGACGGTGATGAGGATGGGTCTGGAGGACTTTGGATGGTGATGGTGATGGGTCTGGGTGACTTTGGATAGTGATGGCGATGGGCTGGGTGACTTTGGATAGTGATGGTGATGGGCTGGGTGACTCTGGACGGTGATGAGGATGGGTCTGGAGGACTTTGGATGGTGATGGTTATGGGTCTGGGTGACTTTGGATGATGGTGAAGAGGCTGGTGACTGGATAGTGATGGTGATGGGCTAGGTGACTCTGGATGGTGATGGTGATGGGTCTGGGTGACTTTGGATGGTGGTGGTGCTGGATGACTTTGGATAGGATGGTGACGGGTGGGTGATTTTGGATGGTGATGGTGATGGGGCTAGTGACTTTGATGGTGATGGTGACAGGCTGGAAAACTTTGGATGGTGATGGTGATAGGTCTGGATGACTCTGGATGGTGATGGTGATAGGTCTGGATGACTCTGGATGGTGATGGTGATGGTCTGGGTGACTCCTGATGGTGATGGTGACAGGATAGGTGACTGGATGGTGATGGTGACGGGCTGGGTGACTCTGGATGGTGATGGTGATGGGTCTGGGTGATCTGGATGGTGACAGTGAAGGGGCTGGTGACTCTGGATGGTGATGGTGACAGGATGGGTGACTGGATGGTGATGGTGATGGGCTGGGTGACTCTGGATGGTGATGGTGATGGTCTGGGTGACTCTGGATGGTGACAGTGAAGGGGCTGGTGACTCTAGATGGTGATGGTGACAGGATGGGTGACTGGATGGTGATGGTGATGGGCTGGGTGACTCTGGATGGTGATGGTGATGGGGCTGGTGACTCTGGATGGTGATGGTGACGGGATGGGTGACTGGATGGTGATGGTGATGGGGCTGGTGACTCTGGATGGTGATGGTGACAGGATGGGTGACTGGATGGTGATGGTGATGGTCTGGGTGACTGGATGGTGACAGTGAAGGGGCTGGTGACTCTGGATGCTGATGGTGATGTGTATGGGTGACTGTGGATGGTGCTTAAAGCAGGTGGTTGCGCTGGCAACTAGTGGCTGAGCAGAAGCTGGTTCTGCAGAGCTGAGAAGGCAGGATCCTGTGGGCTGAGCATGGTGCAGGCGTGGGGACAGCGGATAAGTTGGAGAAGTTGGTAGGGCATAGGTTGGCAGGGCCCAGATTGGCAGGCCACCACAGAGAAGGAGGTGTCCTACCAGGTTGAACCTGGCAGCTGTGTGGGAGAGGCAGGCTGGAGGCAGGGAGGTCAGAGCTCAGTGAGGCCTGGACCTAACTGTGGAGAGGGAATGGAAGAAGGCACAAAGGAGATGGGGGTGCAGGAGGATGCAGGCACCAGCCTGGGGACAAATACAGCCACATCTCAGCACGTGCCACCCCCAGCCACGATCAGTTTGTAATGAGAGAGGAGAGTCTTTTCTCTCCTCCCCACCATGTCTATGCCTATATCCACACCCACAGTCATAGCTAGGGTATCCGTAGCTCTTTCTATTCCCAGAGTCACATTATCTAGATCACATCCACATTGGTGTCTAGATCTGTTTCTGCAGCACCCATACCCGGTTAGATCCACGCCCTCTGCATCTATCTATATCCTCATCCATGTCTATCTTCATCTTCTCCATCTACATCCTCATCCGCGTCCACCTCCATCTTCTCCATCTCCACTGCTCCCCTCTCCATGTCCACTGCCATGTCCATATCACCGTACCTCATCTGTCGCTGTCTCTTTATCAGAAAGGCATGCATTTTGGCATCTCAGCAGACAGCTTCCAGACATTTGGGCTCTTTGGGCTCAGGAGGGCTTTTGTCTGGTGTGTCTGATACTTTCTCTTGTTAATAAGGCACCTGGGGCCAGAGAATTAGAAAGGTCAAGGTGGGCTTCTCCTATTTCCCGCCCAGTTTAAATGTCTCTGCATGCTGTTTCAAATGAGTTCAGGAAAACAAAGCGGTTTCTCTCAGAGACCCAGCTGGCACGGACAAGGTGCTGGTCTCTGTGAAATCCCCTCTGAGAGATCATTTTAGTCTTGTGGGTGTCGGGAGGACGGGTCACTCAGTGTCTTCACTTCTGAGTGAGACCCCCCAGGCTGAAGCTGGTCCCCAGTGAGGCTGACAAGACGCTCACTGGAGTCTCCGGGGAGCCAGTTAGCTCCAACTGCACCTTCCGGGGAGTCTGGAAGCCAAGAGTCAGAGCCAGACGGTGTGGAGCAGAAGACGGGCATTCTGGCTAGGGCAGGGGGGAGATTGATGGGCACAGCCAGATGGGAGGAGCTCAGCTGAGGCCACAAGGTGACAGGGAGGACGGCTGACCAGGACAGCTCTGGACATGTCCACTGGGACCTCGCTGAGGGGGATGGCACTGGCCATGCCCACCAAGGCCTCACTGACCAGGACAGTGCTGGCCACATCCACTGGGCACTGGGACTTCGCTGAAGGGGATGGCGTTGGCCACGTCCACTGGGGCCTCGCTGAAGGGGATGGCGTTGGCCACGTCCACTGGGGCCTCGCTGAGGGGGACGGCGCTGGCCATGTCCACCGGGATCTCGCTGAGGGGGATAAGGCTGGCCATGTCCACCGGGACCTCACTGAGGGGGATGGCGCTGGCCACGTCCACCGGGACCTCACTGAGGGGGACGGCGCTGGCCACGTCCACTGGGATCTCGCTGAGGGGGATGAGGCTGGCCACGTCCACTGGGACCTCACTGAGGGGGACGGTGCTGACCATGTCCACTGGGGCCTCACTGACCAGGACAGCGCTGGCCAAGTCCACCGGGGTCTCACTGAGTGGGACGGTGCTGGCCATGTCCACTGGGACCTCGTTGAGAAGGACAGTGCTGGCCACGTCCACCGGGACCACGCTGAGGAGGATGGCGCTGGCCACATCCACTGGGGCCTCGCTGACACAAGGGTCTCCCTGAGGCGCACTTTCTCCTGTGGACTCAGAGCTGGCCATGGGTCAGCTGGGCAGGACACCCTGATGACCAGATTGACAAGTGTCCCATCGCATCTGAGTCCCTTGGAGGCTCAGTGAGCCCCAGTCTGGGAGGAACAGAGGACACCAGAGGGGGGTCCTGAGGTCGCACGCCCCAGCTCACCTGCTCCCTCGCCTCATGAGAAAATCTAAGTTCCACTTTGCCCAGCCACAAAGAGCAGTGGAGGCTGCTGGGGTCTCCCCGGGTCACCAGGCACAGGGGCAGGTCACTGACCTGAGAGCCCCTGCTCCGTGTCCTTCTTGGGCCACACACCGCTGGCTTGACCGAGGTCACAGACATTCATGGAGGCTTTCACTGGCCTCTCCTCTTGACTTCCTCGGCCTCCCTCATCCCCGCCCCTTCTGTGCATAGACCCTCCCGCAGGCATCACTTTATGAACACAGAGACCAGCCCCAAGTGGTTAACACGAGATGTCCCCAGGGGCTCTGTAGGGAATCTCCAGCGGTCCTTCCTGGGGTTAATGTGGGGATCCCGGGGCCTGGCTCTGCAGCTCTCGACTCACCCTCCTGGGCCTCAGTTTCCCCTCTGTACAATGCCTCCTCCTGTTGAGAAGCGGGTGCAGAGCCATGGCTGCAATTGTTATCTTGGAACGTGCCCAGCTCCTCTGCAGGGGAACATGAGGAGTCAAGACTCCTTCACACTCGCTCCTACCCTCGCCCTCCATCTCTGCTGTCAATTCACACCTTCCTGCAGAAGCACATTTACAAAATCATAGAAAGCCTCCCATGTCAAGGAGAGAAGTGCCAGACACACCCCGAGGAACGTGGCCGGAGCCTCTTACCGTTCTGAATTCGCGGGCATGGTGGGGTCGATGGAGACCATGGCATCGTCAGTGGTCAGCAGGGAGATGGTCGTGTTCCTGGAAAACACACCCAAGCCCGTGTTTTCGCCCACAGCGTGCTCTGGGACGTACACTCGAATGTACACATGGGGCCAGAGCCCTGAGACAACCAGGACAGTCCCGGGACCAGCCTGGCCAAAGTGCGGTAGGATGGGAAGGGTGGGAGGCTATCCCCAGGCCTTTGAGATTCTGTTTGTAAATGAAATTAAGCAGCTGTGTATAACCCTAAGTGTGTGTAGATGCTGAAATACTTTAAAATGGGAATTGGAGCTAGTCTACTTTTTTGAGTTGGGAGATTTTTTTTTTTTAAACCTGTGGTAAAATAGGAACTAACATTTATATCAGCAGATGACGAATTCATAGTTTTGTCTTTCCACTTCCAGTACCTTTGGGAGTCCATCTGAACTGCACAACTGTCTCCTACAAAATCGTTTTAAATGGTTAGGATGAGTCTTCCTCCAACCTCACATCTTCTGGGGCCTCTTGCACGCTGTGTCAACTCGACCAAGTTACTCTCTGATCTTCAGTGATAAGTTCTTAAAATCTGTGCAATAGAGGCAAGACACGAATCCCAGGGATGCTCTGTGGAATAATGTGTCTATATATTTATTTATTTATCAGCACAGTGCTTCACATACGGTGCCCAACGATGCCCCAGACCATGGGCTACTTTTGCTGCTAAAACTGCCATTTGCTGCACTTTCAGACATATAATGTCATCTCCATTTTCTCACCTGTCTGTGAAAAACTTCAATTGCCCTTCTCTACCTCCGTCCTAACTTTAAAGTTAATCCTCGAGCCAAAGCTACTGCTGCTCACCCTTTATAATCAGAAAGTTTGCTGATAATTAGAAAATCCACTGGTTGGAACACACTGTTGATTTAGGACATTAACTCCTGGGGGACTCTGAGGGCTCGATAAGGCAGATCACTGGTCTTTTCAACCCATTTCTGAAGTCAGCCTTTCGCCCAGTGTTGATCTGGGTCAAGCCCCCTGGGCAGAAAAGGCACCTATGGGTGATGTGGGGCTAGGGACCAAACTCACACACAGTGACCCTGCTTTCTCCAAAAGTGAATGAAGAAGTGACAGGAAAAAACCCACACTCTTTTTTATGTATTTATTTATTTTGAGGCAGAGTCTCGCTCTGCTGCCCAGGCTGGAGTGCAATGGCATTATCTCAGCTCACTGCAACATCTGCCTCCAGGGTGCAAGCAATTCTCCTGCCTCAGCCTCCCAAGTAGCTGGATTACAGGTGCGTGCCACCACGCCCGGCTAATTTTTGTATTTTTAGTAGAGAGGAGGTTTCACCACGTTGGCCAGGCTGGTCTCGAACTCCTGACCTCAGGTGATCCGCCCACCTTGGCCTCCCAAAGTGCTGGGATTACAGGCATGAGCCACCACGCCCGGCAGAAAAACCCACACCCCTTGGAGGCGGTTCTGTTTAATTCAGCCAGATGGTTTCCTCCGTGTGGACACGGCCATCACTTGTGCAGGCAGAGAGGCCCGGAGGGCGCCGAGCCTCCTTCGGGATTCTGCGCATTGATTGATTTCAAAGAGCCCCTTGTAGCAGGCGGGTCCCTCGGGCCCTTCTGCGCCTCTTCCTGCCCCTCCCAGGCATTCTGAAAAGGCAGAGCCCGCAGCGCGCACTCACCGAGGCAGGCCGGTGGCGATGCAGAACAGGTCCATGATGTCGCTGGAGTTGCAGTACTTGCTGAAGATCACCTGCAAAACAGAAGCGCAGTGAGGCGGCAGCGAGGGTGGGGGGTCCCCCTGGAGACGTCAGAGGCCATGTGCTTCTGCTCCAGCTCCAAACTGAAGGTTCATTCTGAAAAGAAAAACTGTGACCCTAGGCACTGGAAAGTCACAGGCTCATCTTTTCATTCGGTTGATACATACGGGTGGTGAAAAATCACACGCCTGTCAGTGACATAGTTATGGAGATGGCGCATCCCTTGGAAGGGGCCAGGCAGGACTGACCACCTGGGGTCAACACTCACGGGGCACCAGGTCTTCAAGTATCTCATGGGGGCCATTCTGTAAATAAAATAAAATTTAAGTTCATTAACTTAAAAAAAAAAAAAAAAAAAAGGCCGGGCGCAGTGGCTCACGCGTGTAATCCCAGCACTTTGGGAGGCTGAGGCGGGCAGATCACCTGAAATCAGGAGTTCCAGACCAGCCTGGCCAACATGGTGAAACTCCATCTCTACTAAACATACAAAAAATTAGCCGGGCATCGTGGCAGGCGCCTGTAGTCCCAGCTACCTGGGAGGCTTAGGCAGGAGAATCGCTTGAACCTGGGAGACCAAGGTTGCAGTGAGCCGAGATCGCGCCACTGCACTCCAGCCTGGGCAACAAGAGTGAAACTCCATCTAAAAAAAAATAAAAAAAAAAATGCCTTTCGGTATTTGGGGACTGAGGGACAGAGGCTGAATGATGAAGTCAAAGAGGGGAATCACATCACGACAGAACCGCTGAGGATCCTGGACGCCCGCAGTGAAATTGGCTCCTGCAGACAAACAGGACCTCTGCACGGGATGGCCGCGCTCACCCCCGAGTACCATCCGGGCTGCGGTGGAAATGCTGGATTGGCATCCACATCTTTTGTCCAAGTGGTCCCGGCTCTCAGGGAGAAGTCTCGGCTCTCAGGGAGGGGGCATTTCGAGCTCGGTGAGGGTGGGGCTTCTCCAGGGCTGGCAGAGCATGGAACAGGCCACGCCCAGGCCCCGCCTTCATCGCAGTGGATGCCTCCCTGGACAGTTTCCCCGGCTCCTGGCTGCCAATGCAGCTTTTCTTTCCAGCACAAGTCCCTGGCGTGGAGGAAACGCAGGCCTGGGAAGATGGTTATTTTTCGGTGCCCAGTGCACCATTTTTTTTTTAAAGCTAAGATTAGTTTTCTTTTTTCTTTACTTAGAAACAGTGAAATATAGAAAACAGATTTTTTTTTTTTTCTGTGACTAACACCATTTCCTGTGGGCTGCTGAACTGGCAACAATAAGACAGTAAACAGCACCTTGCCTTGCCCGTTATCCCCACTGGTATCTGCCCCAGGGGTAATGGTCGGTCAAAGGTAGCCTGTGTCATTGTGTGGTTCCTGACGTCTGTGGCATCGGCTGTATCCCCGGCTGCCTACGCAGCTCGGTCCTGGCCATGCTTGTATGGGTGCAGTAGCCCCTTCAGCAGCCCCCACTTTGGCCTTGCCGTTTTCCCCACATCCTCCTTTGCAGAACTCTGCTGGCTCCTCCCAGAGCTCCCTCCTCCGGGATGTGCTTCTTCTTCCACGTCCTGGTTCCCGGCCTCATGTGCAGAGGCTGCTTCTCCCAACCCCACTGCCGAGGAGTCCTGCGCTTGGCCGGGTGCCAGACCCTCACTTCCACCACGACACCATCCTCAGCCCGAGTCACAGTCCACGCCGTGGTCTCCCAGGCTATGCCGTGGAGTTGTTGTGTAGCAGAGCCCGGGCTGGGGTCATGGCCATTTTCCCACCAAGACAGGACAAAAAGTGGTTCCCACGTGGGCCCCTGTGTGACTCCCTTTCTCCTGGTGTGGCGGGCTTACTTTGGGGGTCTACAGACCCCGGTCTGCAGAGGGCAGGGGTGGAAGAAGAGGAAGGCAAGAAGGACTCTTTCTGTAAACATTCTGGATCTGGAGCTTCTGGAGAAGCAGAATGCGGTTTGCAAGGGGCCGGCTAAGGAGCTCAATGTTCTTCAAAGTGTGCCTCTGGCTCCAGCTCAGGGATTCCCACGCAGTGGGTCTGAGTTGGGCCCCGGGAATCTGCGTTAACTTCTACTGGGGTTCTTGGATTAGAAGCCACTGCTCAAAGATGTGTTTGTAGGGTATCTCCCTCAGATGAGACGGGTAGTCCTACAGGAGGCGGGGGGCCCTGTGGTCCCTGTGCTCCAACCTGGGTGGCCGCAGCAAATGACCCCTTGATAAAGTCCTCGCCCCACCCCTCCCCACTGGGCGCTTCTCCTTGTGGGCACGAAGGCACCACATCCTGTCCCAGCCCCTCGGAGTGCACGGGGGATGATCTTTGAGTTAAATTCTCTCAAGACACATCTCTCAAGACCAACTCATATCATGGCTTCTTGGGGCTGGCTTGAAGGGGGTACACCCACCAGCAAGATCTCAAAAGGTGAGGGGAGGATGATTATGGAATCGCAGTCTCTTGGGACCGGGGAGGCTCGTCTGACTTTACTCAGAAGGGAAGTGGCTTTGCCAAGGGCCCTGGGCTCATGGGCCTGGGGCTTCCTCATCTCAGGAGCGTGGGGCCAGGGCGTGAGGCCAGGCGGCCCAGGGGGATCCTTGACTGCTTCTCACTCCTGGAAACCTCAATTCAACTTCTTTGAACCTAAATTTCCTCTGCTGTAAAATGGGCCAAAAAAGGGGTGGCTGTCATCTACAGACGCTTTAACTCCGATGCCTCCCCAGAACGTTCTGCACCCAGCTGGAGGCCAGAGCTTGTGATTCAGTGCAGAAGCTTCCAGCCCCATGGAAAACGACTGCAGTAAGCACCTCCAATGACTGACCCACAAGCGCAGACTCCTGAGGACAGCTTCTGATGGCTTTGCTCGGATGATATTCGGACCCTGCCAGTGGGCTGCCCAGGGCTTCCAGGGCTCTTTTCAGTAGAGGAACATCCGGCTTCATGAGTCTACAACCCAGGAGCCAGTGGAGAATCCGTCACGGACCCCTGAGTGGCATGAGTGAGGAACGCTTTACTTTTTGGCATCATGCGTGTCGTTGTACTGTTGGACTTTCCGGCTCTGCAGGGAAGCACTTTCCCTGTCTTCTCAAGCTATCAGTAACCTTTAACGACCTAGATTTTTTGTAAACTGAAATGAGTAATTTTTAAGTGATATCTGATTTTCACCATCTGCTCTCCTTCCTCCCCAAATTCAAACTTTTAGGAAGGCTTTACTTTTTGTGGCAGTATCTGCAAAGGTTCCGGAAGGATCTGTCCTCCTTCTTGCCAGGATATAACTGGGGAAGGTTTATGCAACCGCGCCTGGGCCTGAAAGACGTGTGTGAGAACGACACTTATTTGCTGGGCTGCGACCACTCTTAAGGGGCCGAGAGTGACTGTGCAGCATCCACGCTCACAAAGTCCCCTGGGGGAGGGCAGGGGCTCGCAGGGTCGCAGCCTCCAAGCTGGAAAAAAAGGCTGCACTCTGGCAGGCCAGGGTTTTGGATTATCATGGGGCCCTTGAGAAGAGAGGGGTTTATCAAATTTATAAGTACTGCAGGTGAAATCTGGAGGAAAGCTTTTTGTGTTTGGTTTCCTAACCTCAGGATAGCAAATAACAGAGGCTTTTAAAGTACAACTATGAGGTCTTCCAGTAAAACAAACCGAAAAAGGCCTGTATGGCATGGTGGCACTCTTGCCACCTCTGTGCAAGCAAGGATGGCACACCTAGGGGGATCAGCCTTATTCTGCCATCCAGAATAATCTCTCTTTGAGATTATGTTAGACAAGACGGGGGGAGGCTATCAGGAAATTTGGAATAAGCACGGAAGTTGACACTGGCTGTCTCCACTGGAGAATACAGCTGCATCCGTTTGAAGTCCATTTCAACATTCCTGCACTCCTTACACATTTAGGGTTCTTGGATTTCTCTTTTGAACTGGCTGCACCTTCTTACCAGTTCCCATTCAATTCATCATTTCAGTAAAAATGTTTGACACACGGTCATTTTAGATCTGGATGAGAGGCATGACTTCAGCTTTTGCTGTTCACTCGTCTCCAGCGGTTCCAAAGCAGGTGCGAGTCTGGGCATGAGGCGTGAGCCCTAGGGATGGGGGCTGGGACAGTCGTGTTCTTCGCGGGTGTGAGAAGCACCCAGCCTGATGCTGCTCCTGACTGTGGGAGGCCAGCCCGGCTGCAGCTTCGGACCACAGGAGGACCCCCAGGCTGCCTCATCAGGAGGCCATAGGGCTTCCTGACCACATGCTGAATAATTTTGCGAATCCTTTATCCAGAAACAAATAGCGCAAAAAAAGTTGATAAAATGAAGTTTGAGAATGAGATGCAGAGGCAGCAAGACGAAGGGAAAAATGAAGGTTTTATGTTGGCTCCTGGCTTGCAGGCAAGTCAGGGCTGGAGTTCGCGAGAATGCATGGCAAGTCATCACAAACCCTTTTGTGTGGTTTGACTGGCAGTGCTGTGATATTAAAGCAAGACGAGACAAACAAATGATGAGACAGAGGGTGGCTCCTCCGCTGGAAATTGATACCTCTTCATAATCAGCTGAGACCTGGGGATGTCAGCTGGAACGTCACCATCTGGGCGCCCTCATGCTGCCTGCATTAGAGAAGGCTGACACTCACCAGGTGCCAACCACAGGCAAGTGCTAGTCTAAGATGTTTACACATGGAAACCGAGGCACACAGAGATGTGTGTAGCTCCCACGTGCCCAGCCAGAAGCGTATATCAGGACTGCATCTCGGGCCACTGGCTGCAGACCACACACGCTTGACCACAACATCCACTGACCTCCAGGTTATTTAATGTCTATATCCAACTGAGCCTCCTTCTAGACACCATGTAACGGAAGGAGCAGTGGATTTGAGAACAGGAAGCCCTTTGGTTAACCAGTGACTCCTTTTGTCCCCTGGCTTCTCTTTCAACCCTGTGGGCATCACATAACCAGGACGAGCCTCAGTTGACCATTCTGTAAACAGGGCTGACGGCATCAATTCCACCTGCCTCTTGGGGCTGTGAGAAG